GTAAGAGTTGGCAGTTGATGTACTGCTTGCCATAACCAACACCACAGCAAATACAATGTCATTGTAGTGGTCAGTCTGTCAAAAGTGGTGATGGGGGACATGCCTGGTATACTGTTGGCCATACTCAACATCATGGTCAAACAGAAAGTAGAATAGCTTGGTCAGTGGGAGGTGGGAATGAGACACTTTAGTTTACTTTTCCATTCCCGGAGAATAAGACACACTGGGTAAATTCCTTTCCAAAGGGTTTGAACTGGATATTGGATCCGAAAAGTTAAAGAAAATAGATATTGTCAATCGTAAACACTGTGAGCAAACAGCTTAACTTTGTGAGTGGTCAGTTGGCAAGCAGAATGGTCTGGTCATTAGTTCAGGGTTGGATGGGGAGGGGGGATGAGTGTGTATGTGTGTGGGTGTGTGTGTGTGTGTGTGTGTGTGTGTGTGCGCCTGTGCATATGTATCTGTATCTGTTTTATGAATGGGGGGGGGAGTAGAAGGCATCTGCTGTGTTATATGGTGCTTCGTGATAAATCCTCACGTGTGTACCTTGTGTTAAGAGCGGTAAGTTTCTTCTGTACCATGCCATTTTTCAGTCTGTCATTGTTTCAAAGATGGGAAAAATTTTTAACCCTTACACTGTTGTCACTGTTCCCTCTTTCCTCCACAGGATATGTTTGCCATGACTGTCAGTAAAAAAACCAGTGGAGGCCGGAAGCGTTGGGGTGCAGGTCTCTCAGACACTTGGGACGACTGGACTGAATTTGACTTTTTACCCAACAAAACCACAAAGAAGACAGCACAGGCCCCCAAGAACAATGCATTTGGCAAAGAGAATGATGACGATTTCTTAGGGTGAGTGCATTGGGGTGGGTAGTGGTGGGTTTTGTCTTCGCTGCTTCTGATGGTCTGAGAAATGAAAAATTATCCTTAACTTGTGGGAAAAGACAGCATGAAGTTCTGTGGCTGATGTGAGAAGTTGTCTCTTGTGCTCGGGAGTAATTGTTCTGTGTAGTCCCATTGAGTTATTAATAGTATTACTACGGTACAAAATAGAAACATCTCAATGACTACCAAAATGACAGTTCTGAAATGCTATGTATGGTCAACCCTTCTATATGGCTGTAAATGCTGGACAATCACTAAAGATAGTGAAAATAAAATAGAAGCAACAGAAATTTGGTTTCTTAGGAGACTGCTGAGAATTTTGTGGAAGGAAAAGAAATCAAATGTGGTTTTTGGACACCTGAATAGACATAAAGGGGTCTTGAACATCTAGCTCTCACTGGCAAAATCGAAGCTAAATGAGGCAGGGGTAGGCCCAGAGCAACCTACTCAGGGAACCTAAACAAATGGATAACGGGGAGAGATCAGGGAAATGTAGCTTTTTTAAGAGCATCCGAGCAAAGGAATGAATGGATAAACATGATCGCTGATGTCTGTCACAGGTTTGATGATGATGATGGTACAAAATGCTGGTTTGTCAGTTCAAAGGAAACATTTCTCACTCTCAGCTGATGCAGTGTGTGTTGGAGGGCACCACTGATAGGTCATAATTATTCTCTTTCCTTCTCTTGTTTCTGTCTGTTTTCTTTTCTCTTTATGCAGATAAAGACACCATTTTAATGTCAATATGTTTCTCTTTACTCAATTTAACAAAGCAGTGTGTGTTTGTAAATTTTTCTGGGCAGCCTGTCATTTAAGTGCTGGTGTCAAAAAGGCTTAGAGATCTTAGGGATTATGTATGTCTGTGTGAAACACTGTCCTAGCAAAGATGTGTCTGCTGTGACTTACAACCCCCACCAACAACACCCCCCCCCCACCCCCTCTCCTGTATAAGCGAGTGCCAGTATAATATTAAATGATTATAAACAAGTGTCTGTATAAAAGTGTATAAATGAGTGAACAAAGACCTGTGTAATATTTTATATATTGAAACTAGTGCCTGTATATTAATAGCAGTGTGTAAGCAAATTTCAAGTAAATGTAATATCCACCATCTTTTTTGTCAAGTCTGCATGATATTGTATTTAGACACATGTCTTTATTATAATGTTTACAGTGTATAAATGAATGCCTGTATCATATTTATTGTTGAGAGAATTGTCTGTAAAATGTAAAAAGTATACAAACAAGTGTCTTTATAAGAACTGTCTGTATAATGTTTGTGATATATTAAAAAAGATGTCTGCGTGGTATTTGAAGAATAAAGACAAGTACTTGTGACCCTTTCACTAGTTTTATGTCTGCTTCCCTCTGTGCAGGAGTTTGATGCCTAAAAAGACTCAACCTCCAAAGGTGTCCAACCGTGTCAACTCTGGTCGTTCATCAGCGTCCTCGGCCAAACAGCACTACTTGAGCAAGTCCCGCTACCTCCCAGGTACAATGACCTCACCTTTCTTACTGTGATGTCAGCTTTGTCATCTCAATAATTATCTTTCTCACAGTAATGTTCATTTTCTCACCATAATGTCAAACTTAATTACAGGAGAATCAACTTCCTCGCCATGACATCGTCAACTTTGAGAAGACCCGTCATTTCCAAATGCTAGAAACAAAATAAAAGGTGGTAACACAAAACACAAGGAATATATCTCATAAATGGTGAATGAATAATAGGGATGAAAAAAAAAAAAAAAATTGAAAAAAGAATGAAAATGGACATAAAAAGACAAGAACAAGCAGACCCTTATCATCCACCCTCCACTGGGGTTACTCTAGTTATGTAACTCTATCAGTTGTAAATTAAGCAATGTGAAGGTCATTCCAATAAAACAATGGGAAGTATCCTATATTGTACTATAAGTGTGACTATAACAATGAAAACACCAAAGAAGTACTCATAATGACTTGCACAAAATAATAAGAACTTACCTCACTGATGCTACACATAAATTTCACATATACAAACCATCTGGGAAAACTCAGATAAAGACTTTGTACCTTTTGGAATTCCAAAGGAAAAATTAATGTCTCTCATTGATTTTGATAAAACGTTCTTCCCCTGATCTGCTGTCACCTTGATGTCAAACTTTCTCATTGTGAAGTTGTCGTAGGCCAGACTTCAGGATATACAAACATTTCTCATGGAGATCTAATGGGACCATGGTCCTTGCAGTTATCGTACCACTAGAGGTTCTAGAAAGCTTAAAAGCTTCATTATAAAATTAAAGGAGCAAAAGTTGAGGAGAATTCCCTGAAATTTTCTACCTTGCTTTACTAGTGGGGGTGATGATTTATTTATTGTTTATTGATGACTGCAAAGCTGGCAGTTTGCATTTCAGGAAGAGCGTATAGTAACATGTGGATCATTTCAGTGGACTCAACAAGTTGTTTATTTTCTTTCTCTTCTTTTTCATATTTAGTGCCTTTCTTTCTCTGTTTCTCTCCCTCTTCAATTTCTTTTCTCATAGTTTAAATTTTTGTTGGCTTAATTTTCTTTTCTTTTCTGTTGTTTTCCCCACTTCTGTCTGTCTTCCTTGCCTTTTACTTCTCTCCAAATGATTGAGTCATACAATCACAATGACGGTGAAATTGCATTTGGATTGGCGGTCACCCGGGTATATCTCTAACCAAGATGTTGTGACTTGGTCACAAATATCTATCTGTCTCTCTGTTACTCTATCACACAATGCCTTGCAAATGCCTATTTATTCTCTCAAATAACATGAAGTCTTTATATACCCCCCCCCCCCCACCTCCAGGTATCAACCCGAAGAACAGTGCCCGGCGGGATAGCGTGGGTCAGAGACGGGACAGTCTGGGCCTGGGCCTTGGGGACTGGGGAAACCCGTTTGACAAATCTCCACCGCTGGGTGGCATCAACTCCAACACCAGTAAGTCTATCGCTGTCAGAGAGCAGGCTATGTTTTCCTTCTTTCAAACTTTCACTCTGTCCTTCATTCGTCCAGTTGCTCAGTCCTTTACTCAGTCATTTACTTGGTCATTCACCTGGTCAGTATCTTGATCCTTCACTCATTCCTTCTCTAATCCATTGTCTCTTTGTCATCCACTCGCTCCATACTCAGCCTTCCGCCCATTCACTTCTTTGCTCACTCTTTTACTCACACCTTCACTAATTCCTTCATTCACACCTTCACTCACTCTTTCACCCACACCTTCACTCATAACTTCATTCACACCTTCACTCACTCTTTCTCTCACTCCTTCACTTACGCCTTCATTCAGTCCTTTGCTCTGTCTTTTACTTACTCCTCTACTCAATGCTTTACTCAGTCATTCACTCTGTCATTGTCTCTGCCTATCACTAAACCTTTCACTAGTTCATCAACTCGTTCCTTCACTCATTCCTTCTTTTACTCTTTCACTTACTCCTTCTCTCAATTGTTCACTATCTCCACTCGATCATTCACTCACTCAGTCATTCACTCACTCAGTCATTCACTCAGCCATTCACTCACTCGGTCATTGACTCTTTCCTTCTCTCAATACCTCAGGCATTTAAAATGTCATTCACTCTGTCTGTCCTTTTTTTAGTCCTTCACTCAGTCATTCACTCACTCCTCATTTACTCCCTCATTCACTCAGGCTTTAAAATATAAATCACTTGCTCAGTCACTGAATGTTGCATGTCTTGTTTCCCCTCTCTCATGACCACCTTCACCACCGTCCGCCTGCCCACCCACCCAGGAACAGGGAAGGCTCAGAATGACCATGACTTTGTCTCGGGTTATCGTGGAGGCAGAGGTCAGTCACTTGTATGTTGTATAGACTTAACACCCTTTTTAACGCTGTAAGGTTATCAAGAGCTGGGACCTCCGAATTTAACATCTATCTCCAATAAGACCGCGCTAACTGGATGAAGAGCCTTAAAAACAATCCCAAGTTCAAGAGCATTCCATCAGGAATTCGAATTGGGGCCATCCGCTCTGTAGTCCAGCATGATACCAACTGAGTTTACAAGAGCAGCCCATTTGCTTGCTTGTTTGTGTAAGAATGTGTAGAGTGAGTCAGTAAAGGTCTAGTCGAGGTTTTTATTTGGAAGTTACTTGACCTACTACGCCCATCCTGAGTCTAAACTTTCTGCAGGGGTAACAAGAAGTAGCCATGTCATCATGTGGAAAAGTTTTTCACCTGGTGATTATTACCTTTTATGCATATATGTCAAACTTGTGTGTGGCCTTAGTTCAGCCTTGACAGTGATGTATTGGACTATGACTGGTCATCACTTACCTTTGTTCCTCTTAGATATTGCACCAGTTTATCTCCTGTTATTGCACCAGTTGTTGTGCCGATTTTGCTCTCTTTACTCAAAAACAAAAGCCTAACAGTCACACACAAGGCTTTCGCTTTCTTTAGAGCAATGTCACGAGCTGATAATTCCCCTTGATATGATGGTTCTGCTCTTTCACTTCACAGGTTGAATAAGCAGTGTCTTTAGCTATTCTTTACAGCTGCCCTAGTGTTAAGTTCTGTAGAGTGCTGATTAATAATAATAATAATAATAACTGCATTTAAATAGTGCATATCCATGGTCTACAGCATGCTCCATACACTTTACTACCACTGTTACCCCAGCAGACCCTAGAACACTTAGAAACTTTCTCGGCTTCCTGGGAAGCACACAGTGCAAGCTGCAGATTTCAGATACTCATACACTAACAAACTGACAAGATCTTCCATTTCCACATGGGTGAAGTGAGGAAAATTTTTGTTGTGCCTCTCCCAACACGACACAAAGCCAGGCCCAGATGGGATTCGAACCCACTACCTTATGGTTGCAAGTCCGAGAGCCTAACCCACTAGGCCATCGATGATTCAGTGTCCCAGTTCCTTGCTGCACTTGTACTTGTAATTAATGTTTTTTAAAAAATGTTATCTTTGTGCGTGTCCCCAGGAGGGAACTTCGGCAGTCCATCCACCAATATGGGCAGTCCAGCAGGTGCCCTAGGTGGACCAGGATCGTATGGGGCTGGTGCAGCTGGCGGGCGCAACAACTTTAACAGTCCTGGCGGCTACCAGCCGTCTATGGGCGGAGGCTACAAACCGCCAGGTGGAGGCTACCAGTCCTCGTTTGGGCAGCCGGCGGTCGGCGGCGCTGGGGGCTACCAGCCCTCCATGGGAGGAGGATGGAAGAAAGCTGCCCCATTGCCCTCTGTTGGAGGTGGAGGAAAGAACACCGGGGGGGCCTCAGGAGGGAACTTTGGTCCTCGTCGCACAGACTGGGCCTCCAAGTGAGTAACCCGAAAGTCTCTCTCTCTCTCTCCATCTCTATCTATCTATCTATCTATCTATCTATCTATCTATCTATCTATCTATCTATCTCTCTCTCTCTCTCTCTCTCTCTTTCTCTCTCTCTCCCTCCCTCCCCCTCCCTCTCTGTTTCTCCCTCTCCATCCCCCTTTCTCTCTGTCTCTCACTCTCTCTTTCTCTTTTTGTGCCCATCTGTTGGTGCTGTATGACTTGTATGTCATTTGTATATGTAGTTCTGCTGTTTCTGTAGTAGTTACATTCACCAATGTGAGTGACAGTATCTCTTTCTCTTACATGCTCCTCATCTTACACTGCAACTCGCATTTATTTCCAAACCAGTGGTCTTGCCCAAATAGAATCCTATAGGAAGTCATTCAGAAAATGACCCCTCATCGTAAAATGTGTTCGAATTACATTTCCACATGAATGTCATCTGTAGTTGTAGATTGAGTTAATTGACTTTTGAAGACTGTTTGATTCACGTGGAGGGGTGTGCGTTTGTGTTGACAATGTTTAAATTTGTTGAAGAGGCCAGTGCTTTTTCTTTATATCTCCACTGTTTGGTGGAACATTTTTACAGTTTATTGAAAGGTTTGAGCTTTTCTTTTTTATATTTTGAAATATAAGAATATTTTTTTATTTGTCAACCATTTTGTTAGTTTATTCTTCCTTCTATATGTGGTTCTGTAGTTCTTGAAGAGGCATATGTCTTTCTTATTAATATTAACAATAAAGTAATGTGTCAGAAGCTGGTGGCCAGGCATTGAAGGGCACCACAGGTTGGTCCTACTTTTTTTCTTTCCCTGTGTTGGTTCTGTTACTATGTCTTAACTTTTTCCTGCACTAAATGACCGTTACTGTGGGGATGCTTTTCTTTTACCCAAATGAACAAACAGAAGTTAATGACGTTTTAACATTTTGCTTATCAGTTGGTAATTTTATTTTTCCACTTTCACTAAACACATATACTCCAATCTCCCAGGTATCTCAAGTCATGATGAACGTTTTGCACTGCGCAACGGCCAGGACCCCAGGACTCTGCGGGGTCTTGTGGGAAAGCATGTGGGAGTGGTGACGGACTGTGTGGTAGGAGGAACTCTCGCCTGCTCACCGATGGCTGTGTGCTGGTCGCCTGTTTCCCAGACTGTGACTGTGAAAGACGTTGGGAATGTGAGGGGACGAATATAACTGATGTTGTTATGGAGAAATGCGAGACGTGGACGACTTCTTCGTCTTCATTGTTGTTATATAAATATGCTAATGAGGGCAGCACCATGGTGGATGGTCAGGATTTTAAAACCTTAGATAAAGCAAGAAAAAGAAACCATTAATGTTTTGCTTTTGAACGGCCAAAAAGCTTTTGGTTCAGTTCTTGTAGAAAGAAAAGGGAGGGGGAGGAGGGATTGGATATGAACGGAAAACATGGGGGACTGGTATTTAGACTTGAATACTAAGAGACCAACTCTCTGATGAAGAAGTACAGGTCAAGACATCAGCTAGAGAGCTAAGTCAAGTGGTCTGTTCTCACAATGTGCAGTACAGTCACACATCTCTTCTTCCCAAGACCTCCCATGTTAATGTCGTCGTCGTGCGGGTAAAAGTGGTTGCTTTGTCTGTGTGACCAAAGTGTTCAGTAGAGAACTGTTCCTGTTGTAATGGTCTTGTCCTATGTGTGTGCATGCGCATGTGTGTGTGTGTGTGTGTGCCATGATAAGTCCTTTGTCTTACTGTGTAGGCTGCTATGCACAGAGAGAGATTTTTGATTATAGAGTGATCTTTGTACTTTGCCAATGGCCTTGATTTCTTCATAGAGGCAGTTTTTTGTCAAGGTAGGTTTGGTACAGTATTTTGAGACCTCCTGGGTAGCTTCTGATAGTCAAATGTTGATTTTTGTCATGAGAAAACTTAAAATTGGTTTCAGCCTCAGAGATATGTGTGTGTATGCCTGAAAAAAGGTCCCAGTTGTCGGCAAAGCTATTTTTGAGCAACGGAGCGAAAAGGCCAAAAAAGTCGTACCTGGTTAAAAATTCAGTTGCATAAGAAAACTCATGTTTAACCATTTATTTATACAATATTGAAGGGATTTTATAATATTTTAAGTCTAAATATTTTTATTAGTTATTTTTACAACATGTACTTCATCAAAGGTTAAAAAAATGTGCTAGAAATTGGGGTTTTCTTCAAACTATGTTAATGTGGCATATCTTTAAAACTGCTGAAAATATTGAAAATAATTACCAAATCAGCGTGCTCAGCATTGAATTTGCTACAAAATTGTGCTCGTATTTCATTATCTAAAATTTCCGACAACTTGGACTTTCTCCAGGCGCACACAAACACATCCTCTGTCTTGTTGGTTGACTGTGCAGTTGTTTGCTAAGGGCCAAGTGTGTAAGTTTGCCTTTTCTTTTAGGACGTAAAATGTCTTACTTTGGAGCAGTGTTGGAGTTGCATGTGAGTTAACATTGTTTGGGTGGGGGGGGGTAGGATGGGTGGCGGTTTTTGTCTCTGGGGTTATTGGCGGCTTTACATCGGAAGTCGGTCCAAACCTGTTGAGCAGTTGTCACTTGACAATGGACGAGTTTTCCACTGTTGTCAGAGTTGTTATCTTTGCTGCTGCTTCGGAGAAGATGTTTGTTTCATGTTGTCCACCTCTTATGTGCACATGTACATGCACCGATATCTATTCAAATTTTTATATTTCTTCTTCACAATATGCCTTGATTGATAATGCGATTTTTATACTGTGTGAATGTGTGGTTATCTTGTTATGTGAACAGGCAGAATAGGAGAGAGAGAAAGAGAGAGAGAGAGAGAGAGCGAGCGAGCGAGCAGGGGAAGGAGGAGAGGGGAGGGGATAGAGAGAGAGCAGGGAAAGGAGGAGGGGGGAGGGGTAGAGAGAGAGAGGAGAGAGAGAGAGGAGAATGGGTGGAGAGGGAGAGGGGGGCGTAGGTGGGAGAAATACTCATGATATCTCTCTTCTCATTGATCTTCTGGTAGAAAGATCTACACCTAGCCTTCTCGGACAAGGGCGAAAAATCTCTGAGGTCCCGTGTGCAAGTTGCGCACGTTAAAGACTCCTTGGTGGTCCAAAATTGATAAGAGCAGGCTTCGGCTGCCACCCGGACAAAGTGCTAAATTTCCTACCGATTGAAAATGTTTGGTGTGTCCCGCATGCTCATATGACCTTGTGCAGATGCGAGCGCTGTAAAACACTCACCTAAAAAAGTTTTTTCTAAAAATCTCTTGCTCTCTCTGTCTCTCTCTCTCTTTCTCTCTCTCTCTCTCACACTCTCTGTCTCTGTGTCTCTCTCTCTCTCTCTCTCTCTCTCTCTCTCTCTCTCCTTTCTCTTTCTTTTTACTCTTTCTTTCTCCCCCCGCCAATCATTCGTCCATCCCTCGCACCCCCCACCCCCGCTTCTCTTTTATAAAGACAAGAGCTCAGTCTTGACTGTGTCCGCTGCTTATTGTTGGTAAGTGAGAATTATTTTTTTCATGAGAAGAGGAAAGGGAGGGAGTAAGTTTCACTTATATTGTATGCTTCTTTTGAGGAAAAACAAGGATTTGAA